ATAGGAAAATATTAGAATAATTTAAAATTAAGCATGTTTAAATATCTGAAAACATAAAGGGGGATAATGAACTTTTGAGGCAACGATATGGATTTACTACAGAAGAATAGGCAATATTGAAATGATTATGAAATTTTAGAGATGAGAAATCCAGCAGAATTAACACATTCAAAATAATCATTCCATCAATGACAAGACATAGCTGAAGAGCCATTTATGAAACTGGAATACGATATGGAGGAATTTTTCCAGAATGCAGTGTAGAGAGACCAGAAATGGAAATTCAAGATACTCAGGGAATAGATTGAGGAGGGCCAACATCACATCTATTGTAAGTGTCAGAAGAAAATAGGGGAGAATGAGATCTAGTAACATCTCAAGAGATGAATAATTGAACATTTTACAGAGACGAAGAAACATCAACTAAGTGATTGGATGCATTATTGAAAAGTGACATGTGAATCTTGACCCTTCATGGCAAATTAAGAAAATGAAGATGCATTTGAGGGTGTAAGAGGACCTTTTCCAATGCCACCCCTCCCCCTACATGGCACAGTGTGGCCGGAATGAGCCAACATCAACAGGGAGAGAAGTGAGAGAGTGCCGGGCTTCCCCAGCTCTGTGCCCGGCTGCTGGAGAAACCCATTTCTCTCAAGCAGCTCCCAGAGTACTGAAGCATGACCTCCATGACTGCAGGGAGGGAGGAGGTGGTGAAAGAGGCAGATAAGAAGATCTAAGAGCATTAAAGGGATGCAGTTCCTTTTGACTGTGTTCAGGATTCCAGCAAGAAGCTGGTGCATGTGTCGCAGGGAGAACATCCCCTAAGGATGCCCCCATCTCCCCAAGTGTGAAACCCACATCTCACCACACACTGCAGCTGGCTCCTTGTGCATGCTCATAAAACAGGCCAGGGTCTGTGGGCAAGACAGAAACCATAAACTTGAGCTGTAGCACCACTTTCTACAAAATGAAAGAGAGGTTTCCAGCAGCCAGCCTGGTGGGTTTCAAGAATCAGAGAAAAAATACCTGCTTATGAATTTGGCCACAACAGGAAATTAGAAGTGTGGGCAGATGTATCCATACAAAGTTGGAGAAAGGATCAGATAGAAGCAGGACCAATGAAAAGTACCTCCCACATGAAGGCAACTACTAAAGATTTGCAGAAGTCACTACTACTTCAAATGCGAATCATCAATAAAAACTCCAAGGGACGTGAAAGGTAAAGAAAAATATATCACCAAACGATAACAATAATCCCCCAGTAACTGAACTCAAAAGGCTCAGTATTTTGCAATGTAGCTGATGAAGATTTCAGAACAGTTATTTGGAGGAAACTCAATGAGCTACAAAAACACAGAAAGACAATTCAAAGAAATAAAGAAAACAATCCATGAATAAAAAGAGAAATTTAACAAAGAGATAGAAACCATAAAAAAGAATGAAACAGAAATTCTGGACTTGAAGAATTCAATTAATGAAATGAAAAATGCACTAGAGAGCAGCAGAATATATCAAACAGATGGTGGAATCAGTGGGCTACAGGATAGGAACTTTGAGATAACCAGTCAGAGAAGAAGGAAAGAGAATGAAAAAGAGGGAAGAAATCCTACATGACCTATGGGACACCATCCATGGTACAAATATTAGAATAATTGCAATTACAGAAGGAGAACAGTGGGAGAAGGGGGCAGAAGCTTATATAAAGAAGTGATAACTGAGAACTTCCCAAACCTGGAGACTTGGACATCCAAGTTCCTGACTAATATATAACCCATTATCTCAATGCAAAATGACCTTCTCAAAGACACATTATAATGAAACTGTCAAAAATCAAAGACATAGAGAAAATCTTAAGAGCAACAGGAGAAAGAAAAATTGTAACCTACAAAGGAACCCTCACTAGCCTATCAGTGGATTTCTCAGCAGAAATACTACAGAGCAGGAGAGAGTGGAAAAACATATTCAATGTGTTGAAAGAAAACAATTGCCAGCAAGAGTGATCTATCCAGCAAATTATCCTTCAGATATGAAGGAGAAATAAAGACTTTGGTCTACAGTTTTCTTTTTTTGTAGTGTCCTTATCTGGCTTTGGTACTAGGATAAACTGCCTCATAGAATGAGTTTGGAAGTGTTCCCTCCCCTTCAATTTTTTGAAAGAGTTTGAGAAGTATTGTCGTTAGCTCTTCTTTAACTGTTGATAGAATTCACTAGTGAAGCCATCTGTTCCTGGGCTTTTCAGTATTGGGAGGTTTTTGACTACTGATTCAATATCCTTAGTCAATATAGGTTAGTTCAGATTTTCTATTTATCCCTGATTCAGTCTTGGTATATTGCATGTTTCTTGGAATTTATCCATATCCTCTACATTATCTAATTTGTTGGCATATAATTGTTCATAGTAGTCTCTTATCCTATGTCTTTCTGCGCTATCAATCGTAATGCCTCCTCTTTCATTTCTGATTTTATTTATTTGAGTCTTTCTCTCTTTTTTTCCTAGTTGTTCTAGCTAGAAGTTTGCCAATTTGTTTATCTTTTCAAATAACCAAATCTTAGTTTTGTTGATCTTTTCTATTGTTTTTCTCATCTCTATTACACTTATTTCCACTCTGAACTCTATTTTATTTATTCTGCAACTTTGAGGTTAGTTTGTTCTTTAGTTTCTTATTCCTCAAGGGTGAAAGATAGGTTTACTGGGAAAGTTGCAGCCCCAACCTTGCAAATAGTGAGAATTTTCAATTTGGCACTCTTTTTTCTTCTCCCCTTCATTTCCAAAATATAAAATAAAAAACTGGTCCATCACAAGGGCCAGCAATTTCTACAAAAATATTGTTGATCGGAGATCTTTCTAATATCTTAACATATGTATTTATCACTATAAACTTCTGTCTCAGAATTACTATTGCAGCCTCCCGTAAGTTTTGATATGCTTTCCATTTTTATTTTTTCAAATTTTTTTATTTCTGTTATGATTTCTTCCTTGACCCACTTGTTGTTCAAGAGTCTGTTGTTTACTTTGCACATGCTTACAAATTTTCCAACTTTTTTCTTATTGTAAATTTTAGTTTCATATCATTGTGGTCAGAAAAGATACTGGGTAAGATTTCAGTCTTCTTAAATTTGCTAAGACTTGTATCCTATCATATGATCTATCCTGGAGAATGTTCTATGTGCACTTGAGAAGAATGTGTATTCTGCTGCTGGTGGATGGAATGTTCTATTAGGACACGTCTCTTAGATCCACTTTGTCTAATGTATGGTTCAAATCCATCATTTCCTTGTTGATTTCCTATCTGAATGATCTATCCATTGCTGAAAGTGGAATATTGAAATCCCCTACAATTCTTGTATTGTTGTTTATTTCTCCCTTCAGATCTGTTAGTATTTGCTTAATATATTTTGGTGCTCCAATGGTGAGTGCGTATATATTTACAATAGTTATATTTTCTTGATGAATTGACCCCTTTTGCATTATATAAGGACCTTATTTGTCTCTTAATATTGTTTTGGCTGAAAGTCTATTTTGTCTGTTATAAATATAGCTATTCCTGCTATCTTTTGGCTTCCACTTCTGTGGAATATCTTTCCCCATCCCTTTACCCTGAGCCCATGTGTGTCCTTAAGGCTCAAGTGAGTCTCTTGTAGGCAACATATATTTGTGTCTTTTTTTTTTAATCCATCCAGCCACCCTGTGCCTTTTTATCATTGTATTCAATCCATTTACATTGAGACTAATTATTGATATGTAAGGCCTTACTAATGTCATATTGTTAATTACTTCTGGTTATTTTGTATTTCCATTTTTTTCCACTGTCTTTCTACCTACCTTTTGATTTTTATTTTTTGTGTCTTTAGGAAGATCATCCCCGAGCTAACATCCGATGCCAATCCTCCTCTTTTTGCTGAGGAAGACTGGCCCTGGGCTAACATCCGTGCCCGTCTTGCTCTACTTTGTATGGGACGTCTTCACAGCATGGCTTGAAAGTGGGGCATCAGTGCGTGCCGGGGATCTGAACCTGTGAATCCCAGCCACTGAAATGAAGCATGTGAACTTAACTGCTGTGCCACCAGGCCGGCCCCTCTACCTACCTTTGTAAATTGGTGATTTTCCATGGTGGTGTGCTCCCCTTCCTACTTTTTAAAATCTTTTGTGACTCTGCTCAATATTTTTGCTTTGTCATTATCATGAGGCTTAAATAAAATATCTCATAGATTAAAAAAACTCTGTTTTAAGCTGATAACAATGTATCTTCAATCACCTACAAAGGCTCTACTCTTTTACCACACTTTTGTATATTTTTTATACTTTTAACAAAATATGGTTAAGAAAGATTATTTATATTATTTTATTGATGAGATATTGACTTAAAACCTTGTGTAAATTTCAGGTGTACATTATTATATTTCAGGTTCTGTATAGACCGTATCATGATCACCACCAATACTCTACTTTTTATCTGTCACCTTACACGGGTGTCCCTTTACCCCTTTTATTCTCCCTCCACCCCCTTCTTCTCTGGTAACCACTAATTTGTTCTCCTTATCTATATGTTTGTTTGTTTGTGTTCCACATATAAGTGAAATCATACATAATTTGTCTTTCTCTGACTTATTTCGCGAAGCATAATACCATCAAGGTCCATCCATGTTTTTACAAATGGCACAATTTTGTCTTTTTTATGACTGAGTAGTACTCCAGTGCGTGTGCGCATGTATATACATATACATATATATACCATATCTTCTTTATCCATTCATCAGTTGATGGGCACTTGGGTTGCTTCCATGTCTTGGTTATTGTGAATAATGCTGCGATGAACATAGGGCTGCATAAATCTTTTTGAGTTACTAACTTCCTGTTCTTTAGATAAATACCCAGTAGTGGAATAGGTAGATCATATGCTATTTCTATTTTTAATTTATGGAGAAATCACCATACTGTTTTCCATAGTGGCCACATCAGTTTGCATTCCCACCAGCAATTCATGAGGTTTCCCTTTTCTCCACATTCTCTCCAACACTTTTTATTTCTTTTCTTGTTAATTATAACCATTCTGACAGGTGTGAGGTGATATCTCATTGTAGTTTTGATTTGCATTTCGCTGATCATTAGTGATGTTGAACATCTTTTCATGTGCCTGTTGGTCATCTGTATATCTTCTTGGAAAAATGTCTGTCTGGATCCTCTGCCAATTTTTTGATCAGGTTGTTTGTTTCTTTGTTGTTGAGTTTTATGAGTTCTTTATATACTTAGGAAATTAACCCCCTGTCAGATATATGATTTGTAAATATTTTCTCCCAGTTGGTGGGTTGCCTTCCCCTCTTGTTCATGGTTTCCATTGACTTGCAGAAGCTTTGTAGTCTGATGTAGTCCCATTTGTTTATTTTTCTTTGTTTCCCTTGCCTGAGGAGACATGGTATTCAAAAAGATACTGCTGAGACCAATGTCAAAGAGTGTACTGCCTCTATTTTCTTCTAGGAGTTTTATGGTTTCGAGTATTACATTCCGTCTTTAATCCATTTTGAGTTCATTTTTGTGTATGGTATAAGATAATGGTCTACTTTCTTTTTTTGCATGTGGCTGTCCCGTTTTCCCAACATCATTTATTTAAAAGACTTTCCTTTCTCCATTGTATGTTCTTGGCACATTTGTTAAAGATTAGCTGTCCATAGATGTGTAGGTTTATATCTGGGCTCTCAAATCTGTTCCACTGACCTGTGTGTCTCTTTTTCTGCCAGTACCATGCTGTTTTGATTACTATAGCTTTGTGGTGCGTTTTGAATTCAGGGAATGTGGTATGTCCAACTTAGTTCTTTATTCTCAGGATTGCTTTGGTTATTCAGGGTCTTCTTCTGTTCCATGTAAATTTTAGGATTCTTTGTTCTATTTCCATGAAGAACGTCATTGGGTTTCTGACTGAGATTGCAATGAATCTGTAGACTGCTTTAGGAAATATGGACATTTTAACTATGTTTATTCTTTCAATTCGTGAGCATGTAATATCTTTCCATTTCTTTATGTCTTTTTTGATTCGTTTCAATAATATCTTATAATTTTCTGCATATAAGTCTTTTACCTCCCTGGTTAAATTTATTCCTAGGTATTTTATTCTTTTCGTTGTGATTGTCAATGGGATTGTGTTCTTGATTTCTCTTTCTACTAGTTCCTTATTAATGTACAGAAATGCAGCTGATTTTTAGTTGATTTTGTACCCTGCAACTTTAGTGGATTCAGTGATTATTTCCAATTGTTTTTTGGTGGATTCTTTAGAGTTTTCTATATATAGTATCATGTCTTCTGAAAATAGTCACAGGTTTACTTCTTCCTTTCTAGTTTGGATCTCTCATTTCTTTTTCTTGCCTCATTGTTCTTGCTAAAACTTCCAATGCCATGTTGAATAAAAGTGGTGAGAGTGGGCATCTTTGTCTTTTTCCTGTTCTCGGAGGAATAGCTTTCAGTTTTTCACCATTGAGTATGATGTTGGCGGTGGGTTTGTGATATACGGTTTTTATTATGTTGAAGTACTTTATTTCTGAATCCATTTTATTCATTGTTTTTATCATAAATGGATGTTGGATCTTGTGAAATCCTTTCTCTACATCTATTGAGATGATTATGTGACTTTTATTCTTCATTTTATTAAAGTGGCATATCACATTGATTGATTTCCAAATGCTCAACCATCCCTGCATCCCTTGAATAAATCTCACTTGTTCATCGTGTATGATCTTTTTAATGTATTTTTGTATTCGATTTGCTAAATCATTTCTTCTAGGTTATCCAATTTCTTTGCATATAGTTTTTCATAGTGTTCTCTTATAAGCCTTTGTATTTCCATTGTGTCCATTGTAATTTCTCCTCTTTTCTTTCTGATTTTATTTTTGAGTCTTCTCTCTTTTTTCTTAATGAGTTTGCCTAAGAGTTTGTCAATTTTGTTTATCTTCTCAAAGAATCAGATCTTAGTTTCATTGATCCTTTTTATTATGTTTTTAGTCTCCATTTCATTTATTCTGCCCTGAGTTTATTATTTCCTTCGTTCTAGAGACTCTAGAGCTTTGTTTGTTCTTCTTTTTCTAGTTCTTTTAGGTATAGTGGAAGAATGTTTATTTGAGATTTTTCTTGTTTGTTGAGGTAGGTCTGTATTGCCTTAAATTTCCCTCATAGTACCACTTTTGCTGCATTCCTTAAGTTTTGGTATGTTGTGTTTTCATTTTTATTTGTCTCCAGATATTTATTGATTTCTCCTTTATTTTTTTCATTGATCCAATAATTATTCAGTAGCATGTTGTTTAGTCTCCATATATTTGTGACATTCCCAGCTTTCTTCTTGTAGTTGATTTTTAGTTGTATAGCCTTGTGGTTGGAAAAGATGCTTGATATGACTTCAATCTTCTTAAATTTATTGAGCCTTGACTTGTTTCCCAACATATGGTCTATCTTTGAGAATGTTCCATGTGCACTTGAGAAATATATGTATACTGCTATTTTTGGATGAACTGTTCTTTATATATCTATTAAATCCATCTAGTCTAGTGTTTCATTTAAGGCCACTCTTTTCTTGTTGACTTTCCACCCCTTCCATATTTTTGATGTCACAATTTATGTCTTTTTATGTTGTATATTTGTTAACAAATTATACTAGCTTCAGTTATTTTTAATACGGCTTTCCTTTCCTTTATACTATAGTTAGGTGTGTAACACACCTTCCTATTGTAGTATCAGTGTTTTCAAAACTTAACTATATATTTTTCACCTTTGCAAGTGTGTTGTATACTTTCATATGTTTTTGTATCTCTGATTACTGTCATTTAACTTCAGCTTGAAGAACTCTTTTCAGCATTTCTTGCAAGGCAGGTCTAGTGGTAATGAACTTTGCCAACTTTTGTTCATCTGGGAAAATCTTTGTTTTTCCTTAACGTCTGAAAGATAACTTTGCCAGATATAGTATTCTTGGCTGGGAATTTTTTTCAACACTCTGAATATAGCATTCCACTTTCTTGGCCTGTAGGGTTTCTGCTGAGAAACCTGCTGATAACCTACTGGGGATTCTCTTACAGGTTACAATCTTTTTGCCTAGCTGCCTATAGCATTTTTTCTTTATCTTTGATTTGTGACAGTCTCATTATAACATAACTTGGAAAAGGTATTTTGGTATTGAGATAATAGGATCATCTATTAGCCTTATGAACTTGGATGTCCAAGTATTTCTCCCAGTTTGGGAAATTCTCAGCAATTATTTCTTTAAATAAATTTTCTTCTCCCTTCTCCCTCCCTTCTCCTTCTGGAAATCTGATTATTCTAAGATTTGGTCATTTTATGAATTCCCATAGATCACACAAGTTTTCTGTGCTCTTTTTTCTTTGTTCTCTGTAACTTCATTATTTCAAAATACTATCCTTTAATGCACTTCTTCTGTCTTACAACTGCTCTTCTCTACTGCAGATGTTCTTGATTGCATTCTTCATCTCCTTCAATCAATTCTTTAGCTCTAGTATCTCTGTTTCATTCTTTTCGTAATTTCTATATCTTTGGTAAAGAACACATTTGCTCATGTATTTTTTTCCTGATGTCATTGAATTGTCTTTCTGAGTTATCTTGTAGCTTGTTGAGTTTCCTCAAAGCCACTATTTTGAATTCCTTACCAGCTCGATCACAAAATTCTGTGCCTTTGATCTCAGTTGTCAGAGAATTGTTGACATCCTTTGGTGATGATAGATTTCCTTTATTTTTTTATGTCCCTTATAGATTTCTGTGGCTGTTTTTGTATTTGAAGTAGAAGACACCTCGTCAAATCTTTACTGGTTGCCTTTAGATGGAGTACTGTTCATTGGTGTGGCATTATCTGAGATTTCTTTCACTTTTGTGTGGATACACCTGCTCCACTCTTCTTGCTTGCTCTTGTGGCAGTATTCTTAATTTTGTCTTTTTTTCCCAGATGGTGGCACTCCGGCTCCGGTTTGTGGTTTATCCCTTGTCCATAGATCCTGGTCTGCTTTTCTGAGAGCACTTCATTTACCAGACCTTTTCTCATTGCTGCACTGGGGAGGTGCGTAAATATCTGCCTGCAGTAGCGGGAGGTGTGGATTTAGCACTCTGGGCATCTGGGTGCCTGAAAACATTGTTAGTAGTGGAGTTTCTCCCTATCCACTGCATCCAAACTCATATTCTTTCCTCTCTGGTGACAAGCTGGAATCTCTCCTCAGGAAGGCTGAGCTTCTAAATTCTCTCTCAGCTGTGGGAGCAGATGATATAATCTTATATATACAAAACTCTAAAGGCACAATCAAAAAAACTGTTGGAACTAATCAGTGAATTCCATAAAGTTGCAGGATGTAAAATCAACATACAGGAATCAGTTGCATTTCTATACACTAATAATGAAACATCTGAAAAAGAAGTAAAGAAAACTATCCCATTCACAATACCATCCAATAATAAAATGTCTAGGAAGAAGTTTAATCAAGGAATTGAAAGATCTGTACTATGAAAACAACCAAACTTTGTTGAAAGAGATGAAGAAGATACAAACATGTGGAAAGATAGCCTGTGTTCATGGATTGGAAGAATTAATATTATTAAAAAGTCCATATTATGCAATACTACTATAGTGTCAATGCAATCCCTACCAAAATTCCAATGGTTTTATTCACAGAAATAGAAAAAACAATCCTAAAATTTGTATTGAACCATGAAAGACCCTGAATAGCCAAAGCCATTATGAGAAAAAAGAACAAAGCCAGAGATATCACTCTTCCTAATTCCAAACTATACCACAAAGCTCTAGTAATCAAAAGAGTATGGTACTGACTCTAAAATAGACATATATGGAACAGAATAGAGATCCCCAAATTAAACCCCTGCATATATGATCAACTAATATTCAACAAGGGAACCATTATACCCAATGGCAAAAGGATAGTCTCTTCAATAAATGGTGTTGGGAAAACTGGATGACTGCAAGCAGAACAGTAAAATTAGATCCCTGTTATACACCACTCACAAAACTTAACTCAAAATGGATTAAAGATTTAAACATAAAACTCAATGCCATAAAACTCCTAGAAGAAAACATAGGGAAGAATCTCCTTGATATTGGTCTTGGCAATGATTTTTTGGATGTGACACCAAAGCACCCAAAACAAAAGCAAAAATCAACAACTGAGGCTACATCAAACTTAAAAGCTTCTGCACAGCAAAAGAAACAGTCAACAAAATGAAAAGGCAGCCTACAGAATGCGAGAAAAATTTTGCAAAACATATATCACATAAGAGATTAGTATCCAAAATATATAAAGAACTCATACAATTCAATAACAAAATTAGCCAACTATCGGATTAAAAAAATGTGCAGAGGAACTAAATAGACATTTTTCCAGAGAAGAAATCCAAATGGCCAACAGGCACATGAAAAGATGCTCAACATCACCAATCAGGGAAATGCAAATCAAAACCACAATGAGATCTCACCTCACACCTGTTAGAATGGCTTTCATCAGGAAGACAAGAGACAACAGGTCCTGGCAAGAAGGTGGAAAAAAGGGATCCCTTATACATTGTTGGTGGGAATGTAAATTGGTTTAGTCACTATAGAAAACAAAATGATGTTTTCTCAAAAAATTAAAAATAGATCTACCATACCAATCAGCAATCTCACTTCTGAGTATATACCCAAAGGAAAGGAAAAAAGGGTATCGAAGAGATATATACACTCTTCTGTTTATTGCAGCATTATTCACAATAACCAAGATATGGTATCAACCTAAGTGCTCATCAATGGATAATGAAGATGTGGTATATATATACAATGGAATCTTATTCAACCATGAGAATCCTGCTGTTTGCAACAACATGGATGGACTTTGAAAGCATTATGTTAAGTGAGATAAGTCAAAGACAAGTTTTGTGTGGTATCACTTACTTGTGGAATCTAAAAAAGCTGAACTCATGAACCCGATAATTAAAGGGTGGAGATGGGTGATGGGAGGAGAGGACAGATATTGTCTTAGGGTACAAGCTTACAATGAGTAGTAAATGAGCCCGAGAGATCTAATGCACAGTATAGTGAATATAGACAACAATATTGTACCCATAATCATCAAATGGGCTTGGAGACTAGAACTTTATTCCAACTATTAAAAAGAAATGATAATTATGTTAAGTGACAGAGGTGCTAATTATCATCACAATAGCAATCATGTTACAATATATAAATGTATCAGATTAACATGCTGTACATGTTAAATTTAAACAATGTTACATGTCAAATATACTTAAAAGAAAAAAAAAACAAAGAAAGGAAATTATTTTGGGGTATCTGTGGGACAACGCAGCCATAAACACAGTGAAGACGATGTGTTGGAGCCTCTGTGCCACGACTACCAGAGCATATGGTGGGGCGGCTGGACGACGGCCCCCCCAAGAGCCCACGTCCTAATCTCCAGAGTCTGTGAATAATTTACTAACCTTGCAAAAGAGACTTGGAAGATGTGATTGAACTAAGGACCTTGAGATGGAGAGATTTCCTTGGATTCTCCAGGTGAACCCTAATGTAAGCACAAGGGTCCTTGAAAGTGGAAGAGGAAGGCAGGAGGGGAGGGTCAGAGAAGAGATGTAATGATGGAAACGGGGTCAGTGAGATGTGTCAGGAGGACTTGGCCCCCATTGCTGGCTTTGACGACCAAGGAAAGGCCCTGAGCTGAGGAATGTGAGCAGACGGAAGACACTGGAAAAGGCAAAATAATGGATTCACCCCCGGAGCCTCCGGAAAAGAACGCAGCCCTGCTGATGCCTTGAATTTAGCCCAATGCGACCCGTATCAGACTTCCAAGTTATAGACTGTAGGATCATAAGTGTATTGTTTTCAGCACTAAGTTTATGGTAATTGTCACAGGAGCAATAGAGAACTAAACACATGAAAAGCAAGATGCAGAACAGTATACGTAATATGCTAACTTCTTTCTAGGAAAGTAGCTAAATAAGATCATGTGCATATTTGCTTATTTTTCCACTTATTTTTCATTCTGAAAACTAGAAACTAACAAAAATAGTTACCTCCAATATGTGGGGGCATAAAGTGAAGGGAATAGGATGAAGTAGATCATCTCTGAATGCACCATTTTATGTAGTTTTAACTTTTGAAACTTATAATTATTCTACATATTCTAAAACACAGAATTAAACTACAAAAGATGGGAAAAGCACAACCTGAAATGAACATCAACAAATAAGAAGAAGGATAAGCTTATAACCAATTAACAACACAGATATAGGGCAAAGCAAAAAAAAAAAAAAAACTCACTATATTAATTTGTCAGGAATTAGAGGTTTATGTATAAGAGATACAAGTATAACATAAAAAGGTAATAAACCCTGTAATGTTACATTAGGGTTGGAAATATCTGTGTGAATTTACCCTTTGCATCCTCCCTGAATATTAAGTGGTCCGTAAGGAACAAAATCACAGTAGCCTTGAGTTCACATAGCCCCAAGATCTTGTTTTCTAATATTGCTCCCCACTACAAGGACCCCAAGAACTCTTGGAGAAAAGTCGGATTCCGGGTCCAGGGCAGGAGGAACACAAAAGGAGCTTGGGAACCCATTTTAATCTAGAAAGAAAGACAGGCTCAAATAATGAACAGGGTCATCTCAAAAGGCAAAGCAGGAAGCTGAAAGAGTCTTCAGTGGCCCGGTTT